GGCGGCGCCGCCGCGGCCGCGGCTGAGGGAGCGCGGCGCGGGGGGGGGAAACGGGACGGGACGGGACGGGACAGGGAGGAGCGGAGCGGGGCGGGCGGCTCAGTCAGGGAGTTCTTTAAAGATGGCCGGAGCGACGGCCGCCGCCGCGACCCCCGTGTACTGCGTGTGCCGCGAACCCTACGACGTGAGCCGCTTCATGATCGAGTGCGACATCTGCAAGGACTGGTTCCACGGCAGGTAAGGCGCCGGGAGCCGCGCCGGGGCTGGGCGGCGCGCCGGGGCAGCCGCCGGGGCGGGCGGCCGGGCGGCCACCGGGCACAGGCGRTGGCAGTCGCGTTTCCCCCTCCCCCCGGGGGGGACAATGGCTGCGCGGCGGCAGCACGGGGGGGAGCAGCGGGCGCTCGCCCGGTCCGGTCTCTTTCCCCCCCTCYCCGCGGCGGGGACAGTGCAGGCGCCGGCGGGGGCGGCTGTCCCCGGGCACATGGGTCCGCAGCTGCGAGGGGGCGGACGGGCCGGGCCGGGCGGCCGGCCGAGGGGGGTGGGGGGGACCGGTTACGAAAGAGCAACAGATGCGGGGCTGACGGGGCCGGGGCCACCCCGAAGTTGTGCTGACTGTGCGGAGGCGCCGCGTGTCCCCCCGCGCTCCCGGGGGCTCTCTCCCGGGACAGGCCGGTCCCTTGGCGGAGCGGTGCGGGCGCCGGGGCTGTCCCCGGCCGGGTGCGAGCTCCGGGCTGCCCGTGYGTTTTGTTCGGGGGACGGCGGCGGAGGAGAAAGAGGGGTCGCTCCGTTCCTCTCTCCGCTTTGACGTTTCCAGCCCGGTCCCGAGCGGCCGCCGCCGCCGCGCGTGTGTTTTGCGAGCCGAGCGTGCGAATAATAAAAGGCCCGTCGGCAGCCGCTGCGTGCGGGAGGAGGCGGCGGCGGTGGCGGCGGTGGGGATTCACGGGCAGTTAAACAAAGGAGCAAGTTGGGGGCCCGCGGCGGCGGCGGCGGCGGCTCGGCCGGGCCGGGGYTGCGGGGCCGCTCGGTGCCGCCCCCGCCGTGTGGGGAGCGCCGGGGCGCGCGCGGCGCCGGTGATTGACAGCCCGGCGTTTAAATACCCCGAGCGGCGACAACAACAGCGCCGGCCGCCCGCGCCGCGCCCCCTGCCGGCCAGGGCCCGCACCGCCGCCCCCCGACCCTGCCCTCACGGGGGGTCCCGCTTGTTTGCGTTTGTTTTTTTTGCCTCGGTTCGTTTTGCCCGTTTCTTGCCCGCAAACGGCGAAACAAAAGCGCCGGCGGAAAGTAGGTTGCGTRTCTAAGGTGTTACTCAACGGCGATTGTTACGCGCGGTGTGTTTTCTTGCCACGTTTTAGGGCGTAAGGGAGGCTCGCAGCGTTTGTGRTGTTTACTTGTGCGTACGTGGAGTTGGTTTGTTCTTTGTACGTGGGCTTCCCCCGGCTGGGACCGCGGTATTATAGAAACTGTGAAAAGGGCTTTGTAAACCGTAAAAAAACTGGCAAAGCAGGATTGTTGTACCTTAAAAACAACCTCTCATTAGTGTTTTTAACTAGACCGCTACTACTCTTGGCAGTGCTGTTGTTGAGAGAGAGGCGCRCAGCAGCTCTTTTGGGTTACAGCAGCTTCATACAAGTTTGTCAAAACTCGGTCAGTGCCTGCAGTAAAGGTGCGGGCATCGCCTGAAGGTGTTTGTTACAGATTCTTTCTCTTCCAAGTCTTTTTCTGTATTTGTGTAGCTGCTCTTTCAGAATGTCCTGGCAATTGCTCAGGTTCCATGCAGGCTTGACTTAAATGCCAGCCTTGTGAGTCAATATTACTGGAATATGGGTGAACCAAATTTCTGAAATTGTTACGAGGGGGAAAGTACTGCCTGATTCAAAGATGGGTACAGACCACTTGGTAGCTTTCTTGGATTTGGAGCTGCAAAAAGCTCCACATATGTTCCTGCGATTGAGCTCTGTCATGTAAKGGGTAGAGAAAGTCTGTTAGCACTGAACTRCTTTGRTAGTCTAAAAACTAAAGAGTGAAAAAGCAGCAAGGAGGCCGGCAAGAGCTGGCAACAGCCAYGCTGCTTTGGGATTTAGTTGCATGCTCACCCAGTCCCATGACTAAWGGACAGGTTTTTGGGAGACCCACTGCCCCCTGTCAGCTGTGGTTTGCTGTGGGAGCCCCTTTCCCCTTGCTTTAAGAGTGTCTGAAGACTGTTACATATCTTGTGAAAGAAAACACACACTCTCAAATCTT